AAAAAAAAAAAATGTATCTATATTTAAATAAGTAATAATACAAACAAATTGTTTATTTACATAATATTAAAATTTGTCATCCGGTTGTTGATCATTTTTGGCTAACAAAAAAATTATTCAGTTTTCACATGATTTGCTAAAAATTTTATCCCATAATTATTAAGCAAGAAAGATCATTCTATATAAGTGCTATATCACCCTATGGGTGGGTGGGTGGCGCGTCACGTTATTGTTATGACTTGAAATGATTGACATGTCATGATAGGTTAACGTTAACTTAACGTTAACATAAGATTAGTTTTTGAGTGATTTCCATTTTAAGATGCTGATCCCCCATCTTTGGTATTGATTTGCTGATTATATAAATACATTTCAAATCAAGCTTTTCTATTTTAGTACGATCGGCAACCAACAAATCTTTTAGTGTTTTAACTAAGAATCGAACCGAATACCTCAAGATTAACTATATTAAGTCTCATTATCCGACCACTACACTATTTATTCTTTTTTTTTAATTATTATATTATATTTCATATTTATCTTAGAATAAAAATGTATTTATATAATTTTTTTTAGTGTTAGACTATAAAAATACCAATTATTTTTAGTGTATGTCTATTTGTATAAATTTTATGCAACTTTTTTAAATACAAAATTATTCAAAATATTTTAAGTTACATTTTCGCGTGGGTTATGCAAAGTTGTATTTATGCAAATTTCTAAAGCGTAGATTGCTGGAACTACCTACTTATGTAGAATTTATGAAACTTTTTAAGTTACAAAATTAACAAAATATTTTTTTAAATTGTTTTTATGTGTAGATTACTTAAATCATATATTTAAGAAGCTATTTCAAGATAAAAAGTGTCATAAATTTTCATAAATGGGTAATTTCGAAGTTTTATAAGATACTCCTTATTAAATAACTATGTTTAAGTGTAAATTATGCAAAATTGTATATTTATAGATTTTTATGGAGTATAAATTTCCAGGGATTATACATATTTGACAACTTTACGCTAATATTCGCCTCATATAATCTCCTGATGAAGTAGCCGACAAAATGCAGCCATAAATCAATTTGAAATCGTTAAATGTAATTGAAAAATAGAACCATAAATGTATTAGTATAACTCAGATCATTGATTTGTAAGATAAACTAATAGTTAAAGTCGCAAAATATAATAGGTCGCAAAATATGTCCGCAGCCGGAATAATAAAATAATATTTTTACCTGCAGATTGGCAGATATTGTCGATCACAGAGTTATCAATGTTATGCTGCTGCACAATAGAGATAATTATTCAGTAATTACTGTTGTCTGTATTAGTAATCAATCACTTTAGTAAGCAAAACAATTTTATTATTGTTATAGAAAATCATGATCCCGATTATCACCGAGGAGAGATTCTCGATTTTAATAATGATTCACATTCAATAATCATAAATCAGGAAGGGAGGGAAACATAAAATCTTTTGGTTATGTGAAAATAATGAATTTACAATAGATGAAATTGTACAAGAATCAATATATCGATTGAAACTTATTTTTGAAGACCTTATCAACACGATGAAGTTAAAATTTTAAGAAATTATAGTTTTGACTTTATAAGGATTTTGGAAAGTCCTTCAATAATACTGAGAGGAAAAAGTAGAATTTGTGAGATGCTGAGAGGAGTATACAACGAGAATTTTAATAATTTAACAAGTAAGAAAGAAGATAAAGTTGTTATCAAAAGGCTTTGGAACTTCATCTATGATGAATTTAAAATAGAATTTGGATACCGAAAAGATTAGAAGCCAAAGCAGGCATACCAAGAATAGATCTTAGAAAAAAGAGGGTAAGATCAGAAGAAGATGACTTATTAGAGAATGATATAGATAAAATAAAAAATATTAAAAATAGTAAAACACAATATAATCTAGGGATTGGAACCGGTTAATGTTAACCGGTTAATTAACCAGTTAAAACGGTTAACCGGTTAAAGGATTTTGAAAATCAGTTAACCGGTTAAAACTATATTTACCATAATTCTAGTCAGATTTATATAATGCGGCCCAGAGACATGTAAATTGCGGCCACGTGTTCCTAAACTTGAAGTTTTAATGCCGAATTTTTTTCTATTTATTTATAATAATTTTAGTGATACATAGTCTTCCTATAACTAAATATGCAAGTAAAATCAAAAATTGGTACAATTTGCAGTAAAAAAAGTTTTTAAAATATTTTTGATATTAACCGGTTATTAACC